GATTTTCTTGCCTCAGAGATTCACCATGTGGGTTGGGGAACAGCCCAGAGACCTTCCCCTCTGGAAGAACCCACAGTCCAGGTCAATTGGGAGGTTTGGGGGGAACCCGGGCCCGCCCTCTACTCCGGGTTCCAGCCCAGGGCCTGTGGACTGCAGCTGTCTATAGTGCCTCCTGTAACAGCTGCATGACAGCTACAACTCCCTGGGCTACTTCCCCATGGCCTCCTCCAAACACCTTCCTTATTCTCACCACAGGACCTTCCTCCTGGTGTCTGATAACGCTTGTGCTCCTCAGTCCTCCAGCAGCACACCCTCACTCTCAGCTCCTTGCGCCTCTTACTCCCAGCTCCTCACACTCGCACCACAAACTGAAGTGAGCTCCTTTTAAAACCCAGGTGCCCTGATTAGCCTGCCTTAATTGATTCTAGCAGCTTCTTCTTAATTGGCTCCAGGAGTCCTAATTAGCCTGCCTGCCTTAACTGGTTCTAGCCGGTTCCTGATTACTCTAGTGCAGCCCCTGCTCTGGTCACTCAGGGAACAGAAAACTACTCATCCAGTGACCAGTATATTTGCCCTCTACCAGACTCCTGTACCCCACTGGTCTGGGTCTGTCACACACTACATACTTACACTCAAAGTAAGGGCACAAAAATTCAGGTTTGCCTAGGGTGCCATTTTCTCTAAAGTTGGCCCTGTGAGAGGACACACTCCCAACCCCAAGGAAGTATGAATATGAGGTACAAGGTATGGCTAGATGGCTGGCAGGTAAACCTAACTCACCCTCTCCCTCAGCTCTGTCTGGCCACATCTCTCCCACCATATTACCACCCTCTCAACTACTCTCTCATACTATCCCCCAACATAAGGAACAGAGGCATCTATCCTCCCCCAGTCCTGATCCCAAATGAATGCCTCTTTGGGCTCAAATAACTTGTTTCCCTCTAACAGCAGTGCTGAACTGATAAAGCATCCTCAGGTTCCTCAGACCTAGACTTCTCAACCAGCAAACTACAGATGGTTTGAGTGGCGGCGCTGGAATCTTGGCTTCAAAAATGTGCCTCCTCTCCTTGGCCTATCACTGCTAACATGTATATTTGTGTTTTGTTGGGGTTTTTTTAAAAGAGGGATCAGCTTATTTTGATAAACACAACCCTCCTACTAATGGATTATTATCTGAGTTCTATTTATTAAGTAAATGAACAACTTCTACTGAACTTAAACTTTTTTTTTTTTTTAATAATTACATCATATTATACTCATGTTCTATTTTGGATACAACATATTGTTATGAGTAGGATCCAGTATCCCCAATGGCCACAAGAGAGACATCATTCATGCAGATAACCTTCCCACCAAGGCTTTTTCATTAAGGTTGAAGTTAACTCGTGCAAAGATCCACTACAAGGACTACTATGCACTGCTTAGGAGACTGATAGGCTTAAGTGGCATATAGAAGTTTATATGCCACTTAAGCCTATTAGTAGCCTACGGTATAGACCTTTTGTATGCTCTCCTTTAAATGAGAAATTTCAATTTTAAATCCCCCTTTCTAAAAGGTAATGAAACTACTGCATTATATTTAAACTATACAGTAGAACCTTTATTTTTAAATTAACTGGGGATTGAATAATTCATAAAATTGAATATCTCAAAATTAGCCGTTGCAGTATGGTGTACTGCATTGTTTTCTTCCTGTCCTCCAAACCACTGCAAGGTAATTTCCACTGGAGGCATCAGAATTTGAATGGATGTTGATTTGTTCTTCAACATCACTTCCATTGTGTGATTCCCCTACCCCACCCCTGCCCTGAATTGTGGGAAATGGTTGGTATAGCTGTTTGTTTGTAAGATTGATGTACTGTATTTACCAGTATTTGTATTTCATAAAATATCACTATTGGAGAACAGACATAGAAAGCTGTGTCGTGCAGCTCTTACTCATGAGAGTAGCCCTACTAAGGTCAACAGAACTCCTCATGCAAGCTAGGGCTAGAGGTAAGGCCCAAATGTATCTGGACAGCTCCAGTGATCAGTTACAGTATCTAGTCCTTTAATTGAGAGTAGGAAATACTACATGTTCTGTGGCAAGTAACTATCCCCAAATAGTGTTAATTTAAGAACAAAATGTTATCCATGGCAATATATCACACAAGATAATCCATTCACAAGGATAAGAATGGTAGAATTACACCTCTAGTAAACAATCACAACAGCTCATCAGCTAATTAATGGGGTGAGAAAGAGAAAAATAGATTCTAGTCTGAGTGAAAGGTCTATATTAACAGAAAAGTAACAAAAATTACCCATAAAGCTTTTACCAAGACCACGAAATGATTCTTTTGCTGAATACATTTGCCTATACCAATTTTCCATCTTCTATAATTAAGCAGAATCCATTTCCTTCACTCACAAAGAATACACTATAAAGAATACCTTGCGCCTCTGTTTTGGGCTTAGCACACGGTTATGTTGTTCCAAATTCTCCAGCTGAGACTCCCTTCATTTTGTTAAGTGCAGTTGTTGGGCTGAACTCTTATCCTAAGCCATATTCATTTGATGTAATGCTGCACCCCAAGCAGAAAATTCTTGATTTACATTTGGGACCACACCCCATGAAGGGCAGAATGTCCTCGCAACCTCCAATGACTTCACAAACTGAATTTGATCCTGTGAGACTAACATGAGACTTGGGGTGGTCTAGATAGGCTGAAGACATGATTGTGAAGAATCTGCTTTTTTAATTTTGTTTGTTTGGATTTTCCCCACCCGTAACTCATCACTGGATTGTACCAAAACAAATTGTGAAGGCGTGCCATCTGGATGGAGCTTACAAGGTGGTTACTGCCAGAATTAGGTTTTGCCCTGTTGGTTTTTGTTTCCCTCCCCTCATCTTTTCTATAACATAGCTCAGTTCCCCAGAAGAGGCATCAGGGGGTGCTAGAAACAATCCTGGCAAGTTTGAGCCAGAGGATTTTTCTTGACAATTTTGATTAAAAAAAAAAAAACCCTAAAGAAATTCCCACACAAACTTTAGTGAGAGTTTATAAATACAGAGCCAGAGCCTTAGCTGCTTTTAACATCTTCACTGCCAGCAAAGTTATAGCAGCTGAGGAGCTGACTTGTATTATTTATTGGCTTTCACGGCATTTTGCGCAACTGAACTACCCAGCCCTGCTGCCCCTAAACATTTTTCCCCCCAGGGGGCCAAAGTGCCATCAAAAGCGAGATTCGAGAAATTTTCTTTTCTTATATCAGGAACCTGGTATTACTGAACAGGGCTGGTTCCTGTCTGATACATCTTTGTCCTTCCAGTGAAAGGTAGCGATAGCAGTGACCTATAGCTGCTGCAGCACAACAAATGCTTCTCCACTTTATTCCCCATAATGTTGCCTTCAAAACCCAAATGTGGTGAAAATTAAAAAAAAGGGTTCTCAAAACCAGGACAAATATCAACATATAAAAATCTTCAGTCTCCAGTAATGCACACATATATACACACAACAGTCTGTAATATGGAACATTACATTTGGAAGGTGGAAAACTCAGGCTGTCCGAAAAGAAATCGATACTGTAAGCTTTCTCTAGTCAGTTTTCAACTCATAAGGAGTCTCAGCCAGGTAATCTTCAGCTATCTCCATTTGCCTGGCTTGAATGGGCTAAAAGTTTGATTTATAGAGGTACTGAATACCGAGCGCTACCTTTGACTTACATGGGAGCTACGGGTGCATTTCACCTCCCAAACTCCATTCCTAAGTATCTGCTGCTTCTCGGAAGGGCTTCAGAAATGGGTTCTAAATTTCAAATGGTAGGAGTCCTTCCTCTCAGTAAAGAGCCAACAATCCCTTTTTCCTGTTGTGGGTCACACTAACATGCATTTTCTGACCTATTTTCAGTGAGCTCTGTCTCACATAGTAGCTTGTGAACAGATATTAATGCATTCTCTCCTTTTACATCAAGCTGGTCTCTCTGTTGTGTATCCAGGTCCCTGTGAAGCCTTCAGATGGAGTCACTGGTGATAGGATTATTTTTGAGGATCATAGATTTCCTACTCAGTTTTTCCCTCACCTAGTGATTGTTCCAGCTTCTCTGTGTGAATCATCTGGTGTCTAAGACTCAACTGGCTAAGTGGATTGGGTCTCTTTCATGTGACTTTTTTGATGCTTAACTAAGCTTCTTTTCAGCACAAAGCTTTTCCCACACACATTACACTGGAATAATTTCTCCCCTAAATGCCGGCGTTGGTGATTTAGAAGATAATCCTTTCTGCTGTAGCTTTTGTCACATTCGGTACATTTATATGGCCTCTCTCCACTGTGAATCATTTGGTGTCTAATGAGCCACGAGTGGCAAATGAAGCTCTTCTCACATTGGCTGCATTCATAGGGTTTCTCTTTTCCATGGCTCCTTTGGTGTTTTGTCAAACTTACCTTCAGCTGGAAACTTTTCCCACACTCAGCGCATGCAAACAGTCTCTCTCCTGTGTGGGCTTGTTGGTGATTCTGAAGATACACCTTTTGAGTACAGTTTTTCTCACATTCAGTACTTGTATACAGTCTGTCTTCTGGGTAGGGTTCTTCCTGATGGATTAATAATTTTTTGTCACAGAGAGATGAAACCCCCAGACTGTTCCCACTAGCAGTTGCCTGCTGCATTTTTGAATTGTACACACTCTTCCATGTCACTCTCTGTTTGGGATTCTGCAAACACTCTTCTCCAAGTTTTCCATATAATCTAGACTTGTACACAATGCTTTCAAGAGGTTTTCCAGGGAGCTTATCCTTGTTTGTGCTTCCATCTTTCGCTGAAATAAACATACAATCACAAGAAGGTAATACGAATAAGGAAACCTCTTCTGATTGCAACCAACCAAAGGTCTTAACCAGAAAAATGTGTGTGGCTATATTGTTCCTGAAGAACAGATAAAGCAAGTTAAATAAAAATATAGGCTTTATTACTAAGTAGAACAGCTCGGAAAGTTTCCACTGAAATTAAAATGTTGATGAAAAATAGAAAACATTTGTGAAAGTCTCTGCAACCAGCTCTATTAAAAATCACTTATGCAGAGTCATAGATTTGATCCGCACTTTACAAACCTATGGCAAGACCTGTGCCCAGCTTCGAAGAGTTCAGTCTTAGCACTGGATCAGTAAATACACACAAGTTTTGGGGCCTGATTTTCAGAGACACGGAGTACCCACACCTCCAAATAAAGTCAGACAAGACTCTGGGGAGGCTCAGCACCTCTGAACATCAGGCCTGTAGTGTAAACTGATTGTGTACTTACTATAAGTTCCTGACTACGGAACACCATTAACCTGAAAGCTTAGCCAATCGAGGCCTAACTAGTACTGAGCATAGCAGAACATTAGCCTCACTGAGAGCTCTGATCCCACAACAAACTTTGCATAGGGCAACCCCCTGCGCACACCCAGAGCTCTGGGCTCTTGTCCATAGTATATCCCTGCTGAGAGTTCATTGCAGGGCTAGGCCTGATTATATACTTGATACTCCTCTTGATACAGCCCAACAGAGTACGTGACATTCTTGCTACTGCACTAGTGTACTGCCACCCTGTGGGCACGTTCCCACATCTATAAGGAATTATTCCTCCCCACATCGATCATTTGACATTTAGCTTTAAAGATTAGTTTTTCAATGGATTTCACCAGAGGCGTCCAGTATATCATGATCACTATATTTTAATAATCTCCTCAGTGTTTCTAATCCATCCCACCTTTGTCTCATCCATGCATTAAATACATTAAGGCTCCACTACACCCGCTAGGTTGTAACTGAGAAGACTGAATAGCATCTGTTTCACACGTACCATATTGAGACACCACTCGTTTTAGTCTCAGTTACTTATGTTCCACACAAATTTGGTGTCCCCTCACTTCTATTGTTGACAATTATTTACACCAGTAATAAAGGCACACATGAAGCTCAGGTTACAGAATGTCATTTACTCTAAGGGAATTAATGCCACACTATTAGCAATTTCCTGCACAAATAATTCTTGGGTGTCCTTCATTTTGGGCCTTTTCCCAAATATTTTGTCCTATATTTGGGCCCTGGCAGGTTGAAAGCTGAATAGTGCTAGGTCTAAACCATATGAGATTCTACTTGATACCGCTTTCCTATCTGACAGAACCATTTCCTCTGAGTTTTTAACCAAACTTGTGTCTATTCTGTAGTAACTACAGCTAATCCACTGACCCATGTTAGGAGGATGCTTCATCATATATCAAGAGGATGGCACTGAATTACTGGGTTTGTGGGGACACAACTAAAAAGGTCCTGAATTTTCTGCATTTACATTAATTTAACTTTGCATTAATTTAGCTTTCCCACTCGGAGCATTATTCCCTTACTGACCTGTGCTGGGATCTGTATGGATTTCGTTTCCCTCTGAATCATGCTGCTCACAGATACTTGGCTCTTCCTCTTGTTTAATCCGTGATAAAATGTCGGTTGCACAAATTTGAAATCCTATTAATGGGAAAAGAGTTACATTACAAAGCATTCACTGTAGAAGTTAGGAAAATGAAGAATTTTGGAATAGTTAGGAACCCCAGATTACATCTGGTTGAGGTTGCTGGAAAGTCACATTTGTCATGCAGATAAGAAAAGTGCTGATAAAGCATCAGGAAAGACATGGTTATAAGAGCTCCCAAAGGTATTGCTGGGTGTCCAGCTTTGACCTACACCATTTGAGTTGTTCTAATCTATTACTCACCAGTGCATGGGTCTATAGGCATCTCTGTATTCTCTGACTCTAGCAGTACCCTGATGCATAACTCTTTGCCTTCCTCAGTCTGGGATAAAGTGTCAGACTTGGAAACTGCATGGTCTGTTCAAGGAGAAAGATGGAGATACAAGTATCGTGAATATAAAAGTAACTGCAAAATCTGTTTTTTCCCCTCCCCAAACCTGGCTTGCTTTGTAAATCTCAATTAGACATTAAAATAAACACACATGCATACCCAAGGTCTTATACAACTTACTCAGCATAAGGGGGTATACAATTCCAGGTTCTTTGTATCATTATATATTATTTAGCAGATAATATGAGGATTATATTTAACCAAAAGGAGTGAATGCTACGATTGAGCTTTTAGCCTTACTTTCATGCGCCCCATTTATGAAATTTTCTTAAGAAATTTCCTTCTTTCAAAAAAGAGAGAAGTTGCCAATGGAGCGTATACATTTCTTGATCTGTATTAGTTTGGCTCGATACTCCCCAGAACACAGCCGCCCTGAACTCCAAGTCAGAGTTTAGCTCTTTAGTTTAGATGGGAGTTTAGTTTGGGCATTGAATGTAAAAACAATTTGTGTTAGAACATAAGGGATTCGGGTTTTTTTTTTTTAAAAAACACCCCACCCCCCCCCCCCCCCCCCCCCCAAAAATAGATTTCCTCAAAATTTCCAAAACAAAGCACTTGGGCTCTGGGCAGAAGCATCTAAGACAAAGGAATCTGTTTCAGAAAGTTATAAGAAACAGAAAAAGATGGGTGCTGGAGCTCAAAATTGATGTGCTAGATGGACCCACCAGCATTGCATTTATACAGTACATGTGTATATACACTCATGCACTGTATATTATAGGAGGAGTTGGTAGTGCCACTTATTGTTAAAGTTACCCAATACTTCCCATTTTAAAACCCTGTTTTCAGTTGCTTATAAGTTTTGCCAAAATTTAACTGCTAGGGTTAATGTTTTCCATGCCAGGTGTCTACCACAGGCTAAATATTAATAGAAAGTTTCAACTAAAAGAGTTTAGCCATTTCCAAGAACAAGATTGGGGGAAACAGTTTTACCCTGATAAAAATAATTCTTACAACCTTTTCGTTTTCCTGCATCTCCTTGATTTGGAGCAAGGACTTGACTTGTGGTATAGGGTCCCACGGGTGTCAGGGATGTGCTTATTGCCACCCCCATGAAAATTCACCCACATTTGACCAAATTATAAGCCTCTGATCAGCCACAACCCTGATTCATCCCCACAGCACAGTCCATCCTGTTCAGTGAATGAGGCAGGGCTCCTGTGGAAAAAAATAGTACGTGATCATTTAATTAAAGATTGTATCATATTGCATATGTACAAGGGGGCCAAATTTAGATTGCACAGGAAGACTGAATTCTGGCATTTCTTAACTTTTGAGTGCTTGACTTTGCAATCTTAAATGTTCTTTTAACAGTTTTTGTGTGTGAAATTGATATATATGTACATATCCAAATACATGCACAAAACTGGCTTTCCTTTCCCAGGTTAAGGTATCAGTTCTATGCTCCCTGGCACCATCTGCCTGAAAAGACTAATCAAAGAAGGCCCTGGTCCAAAAGCCTTATTTAGAAAGAGAGAAATCACAGTAATCACCTGAGCTGCTCATGGCCACCTGGGCTGAAGATACCAAGCAAGGAGGGTTAAGGGAGGAAAACTATTTCCTACATCTACCACCTTCTGCACAGGAAAGAGGCAGTCACCAATTCTGCACTCTCAGAAAATGGATGGAAGATGGGAAAGAGAAAATGCCCCAATCAGTCAGGACTGATAGAAAGCCTGATTGACGTCATGCCAAGTGTTGGTTGTAGATTTGGAACATGTAGAAAAAGATAAAAGCTCACACAGTTATTAATCTTTCAATGTCACTCCACATTTGAGTTACTTTACTCTAACTCACCAGTGTAGAGCTCTTTAGGGACTTTTCTGCCCTCCAAATCCTGCTGATCCCCGACATACAACTCTTCCTCTTGTTTAGTAAGTAATAAACCCTCTTGTGTACAAACTGGAGATTCTGTTCACAGGAACAAAAAAATCACATTGTTTTTCCAACATACACCATATGCTTTAGAAAAGAGTTCATGAGGGATTAGCTCGAGTTAGAAAAGGTCTCAATGGTGTTGGTCAAGAGGGTAGGAAAAACATGGATAAAACATATAACAAGAGACCCGGGGCCTGATTCACCATTGTGTTACTCCAGTTTTATACCAGGGTAACTCCATTAATGATTCAGACCCCAATGGTTTGCACACACAAAATGTTACATTGGGGTTACATTTGCACAAATAAGGAAATAAACATTGATAGGGCATTTCAGTTTTACAAACTAGTATGAACACCAGAAATTCAAAGAAAGCTACACTTAAAAAACAGAGATTTTGGAACATACAGAAAGAGAGTTAAGGTACTTCAAACAGCCTTAACTCTGCCCTCATATTCTTGCCACTCTCTGCACCTTCCACGTAAGCTAGATCTACAAGTCTATGAAGAGTATCATAAGATCACAGCTAAGTTACATGTTAAATCAGGAACCAAGGGAGCTAAAGACATTAATCCTCAAATATAGTATTTTGGTATCCAGTGTCCACAGTTGGAACATCTTTGATCACCTCCACTTTTGTTTGGCAAAGAAGATATAGCTTAATTGCAAGGGTTTTGAGGATTGTACATGCACAGTTGCAAGAAGCTCAACTACCATGGACAGTAAAGAGTTGTATGATTTCAAGTCTTCTGGCATAATTAGAGGTGGGAAAGTGAGCACATGCCAAGAGTCAGGCTGATCATGCAAAGCTGGTCACAGCCACAACTATGGAGAGATCAATCTCTCTCAAATGTGAAGTTGCGGAACTATTAACTAAGGTTTGTAACCTGTCCTTTAAATCAGCTTCTGTACCCAATGACTGGAAGTTAGCTAATATAACACCAATATTTTAAAAGGGCTCTAGAGGTGATCTGGCAATTACAGACCGGTAAGTCTAACGTCGGTACCGGGCAAATTAGTCGAAACAATAGTTAAGAATAAAATTGTCAGACACATAGAAAAACAAACTGTCGAGCAATAGTCAACATGGTTTCTGGAAAGGGAAATCGTGTCTTACTAATCTATTAGAGTTCTTTGAAGGGGTCAACAAACATGTGGGCAAGGGAGATCCAGTGGACATAGTGTACTTAGATTTCCAGAAAGCCTTTGACAAGGTCCCTCACCAAAGGCTCTTACGTAAATTAAGCTGTCATGGGATAAAAGGGAAGGTCCTTTCATGGATTGAGAACTGGTTAAAAGACAGGGAACAAAGGGTAGGAATTAATGGTAAATTCTCAGAATGGAGAGGGGTAACTAGTGGTGTTTCCCAAGGGTCAGTCCTAGGACCAATCCTATTCAACTTATTCATAAATGATCTGGAGAAAGCTGTAAACAGTGAGGTGGCAAAGTTTGCAGATGATACTAAACTGCTCAAGATAGTTAAGACCAAAGCAGACTGTGACGAACTTCAAAAAAACCTCACAAAACTAAGTGATTGGGCAACAAAATGGCAAATGAAATTTAAGGTGGATAAATGTAAAGTAATGCACATCGGAAAAAATAACCCCAACTATACATACAATATGATGGGGGCTAATTTAGCTACAACAAGTCAGGAAAAAGATCTTGGAGTCATCGTGGATAGTTCTCTGAAGACGTCCACGCAGTGTGCAGAGGCGGTCAAAAAAGCAAACAGGATGTTAGGAATCATTAAAAAGGGGATAGAGAATAAGACTGAGAATATATTATTGCCCTTATATAAATCGACGGTACGCCCACATCTCGAATACTGCGTACAGATGTGGTCTCCTCATCTCAAAAA